AATTATGTGTATCTAAATATGGAATATACAAAAAGATAAAGCATATACATTTAATTATGTGTATTTAATTTTCATATGTTATATCCAAAAACATGTATCTCGAATACAAAATAAGCATATACATTTAATTATGTGTATCTAAATATGAAATGTAGCTGAAACACATGAATTTAGGAACAAATCACGACTGTAGAGTACCTATCGTATCATTAATATCATCGTATTGTTAAAAATCATGTATCCAAAATTTAATGGTGGATACATATACATGGTCAGACACCCCATTACTAAAAATACAACTTAGATCTTAATTAAGATTACTACATATTGGATACACATGTTTCAAGGGCTATATCAAAGTAATGTTGGTACTACCAAATCCATGTCATGGTAACCAAAGAAAGCCTTAGAAGAACACCAACAAACAAAACTCTCTACAATACTCCCTTTGATCCTTTTGCGTTGTGGTATAACATAATCAAAACTAAGATCAATTTCTTTTGGAGACAAACAATCAAGACACACTCTGAATTAAAGTTTTCTCTGTAGCAGTTACTTTGATTTGATCTAGTTATAAATGAACAATACAGAATAATATTTGAGTTCAGGAGAATTTGTCGGTCATGGTGATGATATCTTGAGAAGAAGAGAGTAGATTAGCTATTGTTGGAATGAAATTGTACGATGAAATTCTTGAATCAAAAAGGAGGAGACATAATTGAGTAATAAATATGGGAGGGGAGAATTAAGAGATAGTGGTTGATTTGGAGTGAAAGAGTTAATTAAGCAGATAATTAATCAATCCTAGTTTTAAGATATGTGGGTATATAATAATCTAATTGTATCTTCAAATAATATATTAATATATGATATAAAATATTAAAAGTGGTAATATATGTAATTGTTTGAAAGTAAAGATAATATTAGTATATATAGTAGTGATGTATGTCTAATAAGGTAGTTTATCCTAAAAATAATGCCTAGGATTTAATTAATTAACTAAAGTATATCCTAACCATACTTAATTTAGATAAATAAATCTGTTCTTGTCAATTTAAGAATTACCATTTATTTCATCTCTTTTTTCTTTGTTTGAGCCCAAAAAAAATATTGGTATAAAAAAATTGTCAACAACCTATATCATGGAAGCAGAAAAATAATTTCAGATTATTATCAGGAAATTCAATTTTTTAAATTGGATTCAATTTAGAAAATCAACTTGTATCTAATATCCCAAATACATATATTTAATATCCTAGATATTGTATTCAAGGGGCGTTGCATAGGAAGATTTCGTGTCATACGTGGACAAGTAGTGCTAGGCAAGGGCGTCTCTCATCGGGGTTGCTGTGGGACTACCCCACATACCATTAGAGTTATTTCCAAGGTTTTCTTCAAAAGGTTTCACAAGGTTTAAACCGAGTTTTGGGGCTAAATATGTTAAGAGTAATGGAACTAAAATGATTTGTTTTATATGTTGTTTCTCACAACAATTGTGATAGTGTTATATAGTGTTACAATTCTCATACATGGTACTTTTGGCATCTCAATTTATGTGACCTTATTTTCTTTTTAGTTCGTTGTATTCAAGTTTTTAATTTTTCTATTTTACTCTTAATAAGTATAAAATTTATACCTATTATATATATATATATACTAGAAATTACATAATAAATTAGAATTCTTTTTGAATTTTTGTGAGTAATTTGAAATGAAAAAAGTGAATGAAACTTTTTCAATATCTTATAATCAAACATATTTTTCGAAATTAAACTTCGGAAAAAAGTGTAATTTTTTTATGGCTAAGTGCAAACGCCATCTTATACCTCGTTTGAATGATTGTTACCCATTGTATGATATTACATCATTAGTTTAAATACCATATTTGTTTTCATTGTTTTTAAAATTATATTGTATCGTATCGTTTAAATTCGTTGTTAGATAATAATGAAAAGTCTAATTTTATGTAATAACTAATATGGTATGATTGCAATGTTACCTTAATATATTCTTCTCATTTTATCATATATTTTCATATTAGTTCTAGTTGTATTCTATTTTTGTTCTAGATTTATCATTTAAATTATTAAAATGCGATATTACGAGTAGGATGGAGAATTATACAATATATCTAAACATACCGCGCTGGTTAAACGTTGTAGTTCTCATCAATGGAGTTCATCAGCAAGAATGGTGTCAGTTGTAAGCTCTTGAAAAGTTGAATAAACACCTCAAATAGCAATGGCAGCAACCATAAATCTATCTCTATCTCCACTTCTCTCTACTACACAAACTCAATCGAATCGAACATCAACAACAACTGACTTAATAAAATCCTGCAAAAATCTCAACGAAATTAAACAACTACACGCCCATTTCACAAAACAGGGGTTCAATCAAGACCCTGGTTTTCTTGGTAAACTCATTGCTAAATGCTCCGAATTGGGTTCCTATAATAGCATGGAATATGCACAAATAGCTTTTGACAGTTTCTGTAGTAGTAATGAAGAAGGTTATGATAATACATACAAGTTCAATTCTTTGATTAAAGGATATTCTTTAGCGGGTTTGTTTTATGATGCTGTATTGATTTATGTAAGAATGGTTGTTGAATGCGTGGAGCCTGATGGGTATACTTTTCCTTTGATTTTGAGTGCTTGTGCGAAGGATGGGAGGTTTTCTACAGGAATTCAAGTTATGGGTTTGGCTTTGAAATGGGGCTTTGGTGATGATGTGTTTGTTTTGAATTCAGTGATACATTTGTATGGTGAATGTGGGGAGGTGGATAAAGCAAGGAAAGTGTTTGATAAAATGTCTGAGAGAAATTTAGTGTCTTGGACTTGTTTGATTTGCGGGTATGCGAAGAGTGAGAAGGCTGAAGAGGCAGTTTGTTTGTTTTTCGAGATGATAGAGGAGGGTGTTATGCCGAATTCTGTGACAATGGTGTGTGTGATATCGGCTTGTGCAGAGTTGGGGGATTTGGGATTGGCGGAAAGAGTGTGTAGTTATATTGGGAAGGCGGGATTGAAGGTTAATAGTGTTATGGTAAATGCTCTTGTTGATATGTATATGAAATGTGGATCTATGGATAAGGCAAAAAGGCTTTTTGAGGAATGTGTTGATCGTAATTTGGTACTTTACAACACAGTTTTATCAAACTATGTGCGGAATGGGATGGTAAGGGAAGCACTTGAGGTCTTGGGGGAAATGCTATCCTGTGGAAGACCTCGTCCGGATAGAGTAACTTTGTTGTCTTCTATATCAGCTTCTACAGAGATGACTGATGTTTTCTTAGGAAAGCAGTGTCACGCTTATGTTTTGAGGAACGGGTTAGAGAATTGGGATTCCATTGGTAATGCTATCATTGATATGTACATGAAGTGTGGGAGTCAAGAATGTGCTTGCAGAGTTTTTGATCAGATGTCAAACAAGACAGTAGTGTCATGGAATTCACTTATTGCTGGCTTTCTGAGAAATGGTGATCTGAAGGCAGCTTGCAGAACTTTCAATGAGATGCCTGAGAGTGATCTTGTGTCATGGAACACCATGATTGGTGGTTTGGTACAGCAGAGCATGTTTGAGGATGCAATTCATCTATTTCGTGTAATGCAGAATGAGGGGATTAAAGCAGATAGAGTGACAATGGTCAGTGTTGCATCTGCCTGTGGATATTTAGGTGCTAATGATCTTGCTAAGTGGATATATAATTACATTGAGAAGTACGAAATTTGTCTAGATATGCAGCTAAGTACCGCGCTTGTTGACATGTTTGCTAGGTGTGGTGATCCTGCAAGTGCAATGGAAGTGTTCAACAAAATGAAAGAGAGGGATGTCTCTGCGTGGACTGCAGCAATAGGGGCCATGGCTATGGAAGGAAATGGTAAGTGGGCAGTCGAACTATTCTATGAGATGCTTCAGGAAGGGGTGGAACCTGATCAAGTTGTATTTGTGGCTGTACTGACAGCATGTAGCCATGGGGGCTTAGTAGGAGAAGGAATGGAAATTTTTACGAGTATGAAAGAGATCCATGGCATCTCACCACAGATAGTGCATTATGGGTGCATTGTTGATATGTTTGGTCGTGCTGGCTTATTGAAAGAAGCTCTTAATATAATAAAAAACATGCCAATGAAGCCCAATGATGCAGTTTGGGGGGCTTTTCTTGCTGCTTGTAAAATGCACAAAAACGAGGAGATTGCAACTTATGCAGTTGATATGATCTCCGAATCATCCCCAGATAAAGCCGGGATCCATGTGCTTCTTTCAAATATTTATGCTTTGGGAGGGAAGTGGACTGATGTTGCGAAGGTAAGGATGTCAATGAAGGAAAGAGGGATAAAGAAGAACCCCGGTTCAAGCTCAATCGAGGTGAATGGGAACATTCACGAATTTACTTCAGGTGATGAGTTTCACCCAGAACACACACACATTTGCCTAATGCTAGACGAAATGAACTGCAGGGTTAGAGAGGCAGGTCATGTCCCCGATCTAACAAATGTTCTGTTGGATGTTGATGAACAAGAGAAAGACTTCTTGCTTAATCGACACAGCGAGAAAATAGCCATGGCATATGGACTCATCTCTACATCTCAGGGACATCCCATTCGTATAGTGAAAAACCTTCGCATGTGCTCGGATTGCCATTCATTTGCAAAATTTGTTTCAAAAGTATATCATCGGCATATTGTTGTCCGAGATAACAACCGTTTCCATTTTTTCCAAGGAGGGTTGTGTTCTTGTGGTGATTATTGGTAGCTTAGGTGGATGATGTATATGTTTGTACAATACATACATTGTATTGGTACTTTACTTGTGTAATGACAGATCAATTCCCTTTATCCTATTCCTGAATTGTTAGAAAGAATCTAACAACCCAAGACATTTCTGATTTGTTATTTTGCATTTCTTAAAGTCCATAACCACAAAAAAGATAGGAAATTTGATCAATATTTTTATCATATGAAATACGAACAAAAATTGCTATCTCTCAACATGAAATAAACTCAAAAGCATTCATAAAATAATCATTTTTCAAAACGTACATAGTTTTGTCTTAGGGAAGATGATACTGATGCGGATGGGGATTACATTTAGAAAGAAACAAGAAATTCAAGATTCTAGACCAAGTCCATATATAAGATGGATTGGTATTTGCAGCAGAATCTATTTGGATGGATCCTTCAACTCTGGGAAAATTGCATCAATATAAACATGATACATGGGATCACCATGCCAGAGCCTAGCAATGAAAAAAGGAGATGTAGTATTCCTATGCATTTCTTCTATAAGCCAAATGTTTGCTTCAGCTTTGGCTGGATCGATGAGTGTATCCAATGGAACGTCTTCATCATTGGCCCCAATCCTCAAATAATCCCACTGCTTCATGGAGAGGTTGGTCAGGTAGTGCAATGGTTGCCCATATAACTCCTTCATTGATGCAGCCAACCCCATCCAGGAGTTACAAGGAATCAGAGAGGACTTCCTTGTGGGGAGAGGAACCATCTGCATGTACTCTTGGTACATTCTTGCTTTTCTGAGTATAACATCTGCATTATAAAGCCCACATGTAAGCAAACAAAAAAGGTAAAAGTAAGTAGGAAATTAAAAGGAAGGTAGAAATAATCTATACTTAATTCTTGATCGGCCATGAAAAGCAAAAAGAAAATAAAAAACAGTTGAACCATTCAAGCCCCTTCTAATTTCTTTCTATGCTTACACTCGAAGAGAGGACTTCTTATATATAGGGGAGAGTAGTCAGGTGGTGGAGAAAAACGTGACATAAACAATAAAACTAGGTCACGTTTTTTATATGTCCTCTTTTGGATGATTCTGTGGAACATCAGGGGCGGCTCAAATCCGTTGGTGGACTAAGGCCAAAATCAAACTAGAGGCCTTAAAAAAAAATATATAAATATTTTTATTTTAAATCTATTTTTCTAGTTTTTTGAGATGCAAAGTTGTTAATAATTTTTGTGTAGTCAATCTCTTCTAATAATTCTTTTTCAATCGATAAGATAGTCAAACCACTTAATCTTTCTTGAGACATAATCGATCTTAAATAATATTTTATTATTTTTAATTTTGAAAAACTTCTTTCGGCTGAGGCGACTGTTACGGGAATTGTTAACATTATTCTATAAGCAATGTAAGCATTTGGAAAAGAATCAAGTCTTTTTATTTGATTGAGTATCTTAATTATAGTATTGTCTTCTACTTTTATGATTTCCCTTAACACTTTTAATTCAGAAAATAAGTCTAAACCGTCAATATCGGAGTGAGTATTATATTTTAAGGAACATTCAAGTTTAAGACAACATTTTTTCAAATTTTCATCATCTAATGATCTCAATTTTTTCCCACTAAATAGAAAACCAAATATATTTTCATATACTTCAAATTGTTCAAATCTATTTTGAAGTGAAAAGATGGCTTGGTCTACTATGTATAAGAAGTAATCAACTCTAAATGATTCTTCAAGAGATCTTGTGATTTCATTATCAACATTCTCATCAAATTGTTTTTTTCTATAAATTACACGTTTCTTACGAAATACAGGTTCTATATTCATCTCTAATGCAATTTCCTTAGCCGAAATCATGGTACTTGTAAATCCTTCTTCTCTATATGTTTTTAAAAAAAGAAACTAAACCTCTTAATTGATCTATAGCGACATCAAAATCTAACAAATATTTTAAAACACTATTTACAATATCAAATAAAAAATATAATAAACATAAGACACAAAACAAAAATAATATTAGAAATTAGAATGATATTACCGAATTCAAAAGCTATGAAGACTTGATTTCCAAAAATGAATCGGGCTGCTGCAATATAGTTTTCTCCAAATATAAAATATAAGCTATCAATAGAACGAGTAAATTTTTAAGCTTTGAATAAGAGAGATGTAAGATTAGAAAAAAGAAAGTGAGAAGAAATAGAAGGGAGGAGGATAGAATATATAAAAATAAAATTAGAAAAAAAATAAGGTAAAAAAAAAAGATAATTTGTACATTAAAAAAAAAAGTACACAACTTTTTATTGAAAAGTCAAAAAGTCATAGTCATATCTATCATACTATCACTTCATTGAGCCGTTTTGTATTTATTGTCTTGATTCTAACAAAAAAAAATTAAAATTTAATCCTTCCTAATTAACTAAAAAATGGGGCCTTTGCATTTATTGTCTTAGTTCTGATATTATTTTTTTAAAATTTAATCCTACCTAATTAACTAAAAAATGGGGCCCCCTAAAATTGGGGGCCTAAGGCAAAAGACTTTTTTTTAGGTAAAATTACTAAAGTACACTACATATGTTTACCTATTATCAATTAATCCCTTCTCTTTCATAAAAATTCAAAAATCCCTATTTTTTCCCCAATTCCTATTTTCCGGATACTTTATTGTGAAAGAAATCAAACCCATCTTCCTCACCCCCAAAATCTCGCCTATAATCTCTCCCACTATCAAATCAGTTACCGCTTTCAAAGCAATTTGATTTCCAAACGATTCAACAGTGTCAAAGTTCAAAATAGGTATTCTTCTTCTTCTTCTTCATTTTTCTTTCAAAATCAATTTTTTGTTTCAATCGATTTTGGATTATTTGTCACAATGGATCATCCCTCTTTTAATATTGGGATTTCCCAATTAATAACACCTAACAATGAACAAATTTTTGAATCTGAACACCGAAACTTGAATGAACAGAGGTCTAAAAGCTTGCATGCAACGGCATTAATGGCGAATCGAACTTCTTCCAAGAGAAAATCGAAAACGAAAGTGGGATCATCATCTAAAGCAAAGGATGCAAAAACTAAAAAGAAAAGGGGTAGAAAGGTTGCCCCTCCCATTTTACGACCAACACTACCCATGATATGTCTATCTTTTGCTTTTAATTTTACACATTGTTGAAAAATAAACGTATCTAGTGTATATTGTAATCTGTAGAAACACTGATTGTTTGAGTTTGAGTTTTACTTTTAAATTTGTAGATGAAAGATATGATTGTTGAAATAAAGTATCTGTTAATTGTGATTCATATATCTGTTTATCAATTGTTGATATCTTATTGTTGATTTTAAGGTTTCATTGTTGAAATAAAGTATCTGTTACTTGTTGATATCAAGGTTTCATAGTTGAAATAAAGTATCTTTTACTTGTGATTCATATATGTAGATGATAGAAAAATAAGTATTTGTTTTAAATTTGTAGATGAAAGACTAGTTTAATGCAAGTTTTGTGTGCTGCGATTTGTATTTAAGATAGACAAGTTTTGTAATCTGTAGAAACACTGATTGTTGGGGTTTGAGTTTTACTTTTAAATTTGTAGATGAAAGATATGGTTGTTGAAATAAAGTATCTGTTAATTGTGATTCATATATCTGTTTATTAATTGCTGATATCTTATTGTTGATTTTAAGGTTTAATTGTTGAATTAAAGTATCTTTTACTTGTGATTCATATATGTAGCTGATAGAAAAATAAGTATTTGTTTTACATTTGTAGATGCAAGACTAGTTTAAGGCAAATTTTGTGTGCTGCGATTTGTATTTAAGATAGGCAAGTTTTGTAATCTGTAGAAACACTTATTGTTGTGGTTTGAGTTTTACTTTTAAATTTGTAGATGAAAGATATGGTTGTTGAAATAAAGTATCTGTTAATTGTGATTCATATATTTGTTTATCGGTTGCTGATATCTTATTGTTGGTTTTAAGGTTGCATGGTTGAAATAAAGTATCTTTTACTTATGATTCATATATGTAGATGATAGAAAAATAAGTATTTGTTTTACATTTGTAGATGAAAGACTAGTTTAAGGCAAGTTTTGTGTGCTGCGATTTGTATTTAAGATAGGCGTTCAATTCGTTGTATGATAAAGAGGTTATTTGTTGTACAATGTATCATATTTGTAGATATGCACATGAATGATGCAAAAACAGAATTTAACATATATGTTAGTTAACATTTTGTATCATGTTTAAATAGAAGCCAATGTATATACATAAGTAATATGATTTCCTGTGTCAGTAATGCAATTTTGGCATACTAAGTATAAAATGATCTGAAACATAATATTTTGAATCAATTATGATATTTCCCTTTTAGTTATGTATGCATCATTTATCGATATAGTTATTGTTGTTTTAAGGAACCGGTTAATCCGAGTTTATGACTCAAATTTAGGAACAAGGAACAAAAGTCAATCTGATGAGATAAAACAGTTGTCTATCATTCTGCCTAACTACCTTCATGATAGTGGATTCTTTGATAAAACCGACAGAATTGATTGGGCTACATTGGATGCATACAAAGACAACAAAACTGGTGAATTGATGGGTCCACAACATCCGTTTGAAGTGGAATTTGCTCGAGGCATTATGCAACAAAAAAGCGATAGCCTGTAAGTATTTAATCCACCCAGCTTTATTTACACATTTCCTTCAATTTATAATGTATCTTCTTTATGTTTTCAGCGACTGCGGAACATATGTAGCTGCTTTTGCTGAATTTCTAAGCGATGAAATCAAGGTCCCATCGATTCCTTTTCAAAGTGAATATCTTCGCTCAAGATATGCAACACTATTATGGAAATATGGTACCGACAAGGCCAATGCTGGATACGTTAGCCAGAATGATGATCCTATAAGGCTAAAGGCTGCTTCCATAATATTGCCAGATGATGAATTGTTTAATGTAGATTAGTTGTTTATTGACTGACTTACCGTAAAGATGTGAAGTTTTACCGTTTTGAAGATACATTAAGTGTTTTGTAGTATTCCTCTCCAGGTCTACATTCTATTTCTAAGTAATTAATTATTATATTTTTGAAGAGCAGTTATTTTCACAATTTTTATGTCGCTTCTAAATTAATTTTCACTGCATTTTAATATCGTACGTTAATTTTTCTATATTATAAGTATTATACATGTCAATGCAGATTTTACAACAGTGAATCCGATACAAAATTTCATCAATCATATTAAGTATATGATACAAAAAATAAAGTATCTTAAAATGACATAATTTTTGTTCACACAACATTGTACAATTTATATTTTATAAGATTATAAGATGATACTAAATTTTTTTTAATTACATAAATATTAGGTATATGATACATAGGTGCCTAAAACATTTCAAATTGATACAGTTTTATCATTTCATGACAAAGTTTCAAAGATATAAAGTATCATATACTTATTTTATACTAAAAATCAATCTAAATTTTTAAATATCTTATAAGTATTATACATGTCAATGCAGATTTTACAACAGTGAATCCGATACAAAATTTCATCAATCATATTAAGTATATGATACAAAAAATAAAGTATCTTAAAATGACATAATTTTTGTTCACACAACATTGTACAATTTATATTTTATAAGAGTATAAGATGATACTAAAAATTTTTTAATTACATAAATATTAGGTATATGATACATAGGTGCCTAAAACATTTCAAATTGATACAGTTTTATCATTTCATGACAAAGTTTCAAAGATATAAAGTATCATATACTTATTTTATACTAAAATCAATCTAAATTTTTAAATATCTTATACTTAATTTCCAGAAAACTATTTTTGTGCATGAAAACTCAAATTTCGCCCATAAATATCGAAATTTTATGTATATGATATATAATATTGGTAAAACAAACAAATTCTGATATTCTATTATTAGTAGATGAAAAATTTAGAAAATAATATTATGTATATGATATATAATTGATTCATATGATACCTTTTTTAAATGTTGTCTCTATTAACTTTGGCACACATCACAGCTATTTGACACTATTAATCGATGTAAAAATTATAAAAAGCACATAGTATACCAATCTAATTTTTATAATAAATTGACAATCAATTAATGTTGCCAAAAACATAACATTATTCATTTATTGAATCATAAAATAGTAACTATTACGAATCTTTTGGGAAGAAAGTACATGTTCTTCTATTGTGACCTTCCTGTCCACATTGTCCACAACAGTTCGTGTTTGTGGTAATCTTTTCATCTGGATTTTTCTTCCTCTTTTTTCTTGGCCTTCCAGGCATTTTTTTGTATCTTGGTGGCAAGACTACTTCTTCCAAAACAGATTCTGTAGCTATCCAATCACTTTTGTCTGGCATTGGTTCTATTGGAAGTGCATAAGTGTTTGTTAATGCATCATGTTTATAGTAATCAGAGCAGTAGGGATGTACATCTTTAATATTCTTCTTCTTCAAAACAGTCATTGCGTGCGCACAAGGTATCTCGTCATGTTGAAATCTACCACATGAACAAGTTTTTCTTTCAAGACATACAATGTATCTTATCGCACCTTCATACACTGCAAAGATATATTCAGAAGATGCAACTACCTGCAAATGTTTAAAAATTACAGATACATCAAACGAATTTGTAATTGGTATACTTAACAATATAACGAGAAGAAAAGCTAGAATCATAAAAATTGATAATACAAATATGTACCTTCATTTTCACACATTTGGACGCGTTTATAATCAATATTTCTTCAAATCTTCTCCCTAATGTTTCCTTTGTATAAGATGCTATTTCTCGATTTTTGCAATTCCAAGTACCAAATAGAATTCTAACTTCTTCCAGAAAGTCTATAATAGGTAATTGTCGTGCATCAACAAGGCAACCATTTATACATTCCGCTATGTTCGAAGTCATCATCCTCCCCCTGTTCACAGTTGCATGAGATCTAGCCCACCTTTCATACCCAGCATCTTGAAGATACTTCTTAACTCTTCCATCTATTTTTTCCACTTTAGCCATTAATTTTTTAAAATCATCTTTCCGATAAGCCTTTGCCATCGAATATAAAATATCACTTAGTATGGTTCTGCTTCTCTTGTAGTATGTACACACATTTTTCCAGAGGTGCCATATGCATGCGAAATGAGGAATATTTGGATAAACAATACTTACACTCTTCAATATGCTTTCATTTCGATCTGATACAACACACATTTGTTCTCTATCACCAAATACATTTTTAAAGTGTTGGAAGAACCATGTCCATGAACAATCATTTTCCGTGTCTACAATTCCATAAGCTAACGGTAAGATACAACCTTCAAATTGAAACACATACCATTACGATTCTTTATATATGATTGTTCCATTATGTTATATTACTATCTTGAAAAATCAAATTAATAAACAACATGTCATACCTGCCTCATCGAGTGTACTTGCCGATACAAATGTCCCTCGATAAGATCCGCTAAGATGTGAAGCATCAACAACAACAACAATAGGCCTACAGAACTCAAACCCTCTTATCATTGGCCTTAATGATATGAAGAGATACATAAACTCATTTTTTCCCGACTTGTGCATACGTATATATGAATTTGGATACACAATGTTCAGCATATAGGGCCCTAACATCCTCAATTATATCGTTTGGAGTATGTTTTCTTTTATGATTCACTAACTTTGGAGCTGTCACACCACTAAGAAACCCAACAGTAGCTTGAACGTTACTTAATACCCTATCCCTCAATGGACATATATGTTCACTATTGAAGTATCTCACTTTGAATATGTCCGTATTTTTCCTAACGGACGCCTTCAATTCCCAACAACAAGCATCTGAATGACATACTAATACGTAGCTGCAATAAAATAACAGTACACCAAACATTATTACAAAGACTTTTAGTTAAATTGTAATCTGCACACAGTTCAATGACAACTCATATTATATATTTGATATACAAATCAGATAGCACATTCAAAATTCAATTAAACTGTCAAGCAGAAACCCTTATGATACCTAACAACTACAATTGCACCATACACACGTTATTTGTGTATCATGATCAACACGATATCAAAAAAATCATCAATTTTATAAGATTGAAGTATCACATACCTTTTGCTATCAGATCTCTTAACTCTAAAATTGAAGCTATGCTTAATTTTATATTTTTCCATAACAGCCATTAGAGTTGCCTTATTCTTGTACAATTGCTTCACTTCCACATTAGAAATATTTGTATCTGATATATAATTTTCCACCTCCATCTCTGGTATGTAATAAAAATCACAAATTTTCGATTCAACAATGCTTAGAGCCTTTGTGTCCATTTTTCCACCTTCAACACACACAATTGCACCTGTTGTTGCATCAAAATTATGTATATCTTCATCACTTCTATCCGATATATCAATGCATAGTGGATACATACCAAATTCTACCTCATGTTTCTTCACTCCTATGTACAATTTCACCCCCATATCATTCTGAATACACAATGGACATGAATTACCTTCTACAACGTATCTGATCTCTATATTTTTTTTTGATTCATCAATGTTCAATTCTGCTGCAATTGCTGATTTGAGATTAACCAACGAAATATTTTCCCCCACCACTATGCCATCAATTTTGTATTGCTCGTACCTAACATCACTTTCCCATATACCTGAATGCCTTAACAAGATGGAAATATTCATTACAGATCTTCACCCAAAAAAAAATGTTGGAATTTCCAGAGCTTTTCGTAAAACAAGAAATAAAAATTTCAAAATTTGAATTTCAAAATTTTAGTTCAGTAGTGTTTTAAGATTGAACGATTTGCAGATGCATTAAACGTATGAGTTAATTGCGGCAGTTAATTTTTAAATCCCTTAATTAACGCATAAATCTGTTAAAATCCCTTTTTTAACGCACTAACCTGATAATTACAACTTCTTAATTAAAGTATCTGGCCGCATATTAAAGTATCCGTAACACAATAAAAATAAGGGAAATTCATAATTTATGAAAGAGTAGGGACAGGAAGTAATTTGTTTATTATACTATGTGCTTTATATAATTTTTACTTTTTTTAAGCCTTACCAGCCGGCCCTGTGGAACATAATCATTGTAATATCACGAGGAAAATAAGAGCTACAGTGTAGGAATTTGCTATATTTTTTTTTATCAAATATTGCAAAATGTGCGTTAAAGCATCAAATTAGTATTCTCAAATCAAGTTATCAACTTCTTGAATTAAGTTTTATTATTTTAATTTTTTTAGTTTTAGTTTTAGTTTTCATTTAAGACTTAGTTATTTTAATATTTTACTCCATAATATATACATTATTTTTTAACTGTATATTACAATATAAAATATTCAACTAGATAATATGAATTCGATCATTTAAAAAAAAAAAAATTAACACAATCTCAAAAAGAAGCACTTGAGAAATTGATGACATCTACAACAATCTCGACTTGTATTATCGATCGTAATTTGTTGGGAATCCTCACAAGTCACAAGATGGATGAATTCGCATGTTTCCATGTTTTGTGTAATACGCTCCGAGCCTACACCCTGGATGTGACCGGCACTCAAGAACCATTGTTGGCCCCAAGTGAACCCTTGGCATGGCTCAATACTCAGCAGAAGACTTACTCAACAATATATGAACTCAATTGCAAAGATTTAACTCAACTTTCTCAAATAAATAACTCGATATATATAAGAATATTCAACTAGCCAGAAATAGGCAACTCAAGTCTTTAAAACGTTTAACAAAGAAATGGAAAAGACTCCTCAAAACACTATTATCTATCCATGAAACCTCTAAATAACAAATATGAATGTCGAGACAAGACCCACGACATCCTAACAAAACTGAAAAGAAAATGGAATCCTCCAGAAGCAAGGAGACTCACCAAAGCTAACTCGAACTGCAAGTGGTATCAACAAAGTGCCTGTTGATGACCCTGGTTACTTGTATCTGCATCATGAAAGATGCAGGCCAAATGGCGTTAGTACATGAAATGTACAAGCATGCAAGGGGAACTCTAAAGCACAGACATAAGCTTGAACTAATAAAAAGGAAAAACATGTTCACCTCATCTCAACTCAACTTAAAGATACTCAAGGATAGTCAAGGATACTCAACTCAGTTCAATATAAAAGCAACAATAAAGATACATTATAAAAAAAGCTTTTAAAACAGTAGATAATAACTCAATGTATTTAAAAATATAATAATAACTCTTTTACTCTTATTTGGGAGATTCTCTAACCGACAACCATCACTATGAGATATGTGATGATACAACGTCTCGCCCACGCTGTCAGAACTGTTCTATACCTTGCTGGAGTATAAGACATCCTCAACTAAGTGAATTCACTAAGCTATGCTTAAAAATCAATAAAGAATCATCTAAAAAGTGTGACCCTTTATACCCACATTGGCATACATGGTTTATGAGGACTTTGAGTTGTGTGAACTCGTCCCTATATCGGTGCTCAATACTACTCCCAATAATATAACTTATGCTCATATGCTCGTGATGATTAAATGTAGTTTAGATAATTAGGATTAAGAAAGGAATGAAAGCTTAATTCGAAGGGACAAGTACGAATCGATAAACGAAGAAGAAGGTGGCCTGACGCTCTGGGCAGAGGGGTGGCGCGTCGCGCCAAGCCTCTAACTACTGGGGTCGATTCTGGCGCCCCACGCCAGCCCTCCTGGTGCATCTGGGGCGTAGCGCCCCATCCCCTTTCCAGAACGATCCAACAAATTATTCTTCTCATTTTTTGACCCTAATTCGTCTAGAATCGATTGTTTTCCTCAATTTTTTCCTTAGATTCAATTACTCAATACAAGTACACGAGAATCTACTCACTTTTCCTCAAGAACAACCCTCAAAAATCAAAATCCTCACCTCAAGAATTCAATTCCATAAACAAAACATGAAGAACAAAACCTCAAGAATACCCATCAAGAATTCAAATCATTCAACCTCAAGAATGAAATTACGGATGAAATTTACATGATTGGTGTGTGGTGAACACTATGAAAACTTATATACCTTAATTAGGCAAAACGAATCCTCGATTCGCAAGAAATCTTGGCGAACGCTTGAACTCCTTCTTGTTTGCTCCTCTTGAACTCCTCTCAAAACCCTAAGCGCGATTTTGAATTATGAAAACTGATCTAAGCCAATTTAGACCCTTAAAATATTTTCGAAAACGTTTAGAGCTAATGAGGTAAGGAAGATACCAAATTACCCCTCATTAATACGGGTAAATTTCCTTAACTGGACAGGGTGACTTCAAAATGAAATTTCTCCCTCATCCGAACTTGGAATTTAGCAAATTTGGTGGTGTTGGATAGAGGATTCAAAGACCTTTCATCATGTACTAAAAGTTATGATTGTTTGAAATTGACCAAAACTCACAACTTAAGCATAACTTGGACAAATCTCCAGTTGGCTCTTTCCAATTTAGTTCTTTCTAAAAATAGCTCTTTCTAAGATCGAGGAGTTACATTTTGATTGAGCTTCTCTTCTTTTTTATTTTTTGTTATTTTTTCTTATTTTCCCAAGGTCTTGTTTAAATTAAGAACACATGTCATATGTTAAAATTAATGGTTAGGATTTAATTAACTAAAGTGTATCCTAACCATAGTTAATTTAGATAAATAAATGTGTTCTTATCAATTTAAAAACTACTATTTATTTCATCTCTTTTCTCCCTCTTTGCGTCAAAAAAAAAATTGCGGTAAAAATGTCACACCCCGAGCTATCCCCAAGACGCGGACACGGGACCTAGGACCACAAGTGATCCCAAGCTAACCCTGCTGGTATGATCATGAGCATACTAAAGATAATAAACTGATGCGGAAGCTAAATCATAAATAAATCTGAAAAGATGGGGAATACCCATATACTATAACTGAATATATCAAATCTGAGAGTTTAATACAAAAGAAATATCAAACTCAAAACACTAAACTGAATCTAACTATGTTTGAAATAAGCCTCTAAACTGACTAGAAATGTTGGGACATGCCCCAACTAGATCTAGCAAAACTGAAACTAAAGACTGAAAGCAATAAAGATACACATGTCACTAGTCCTCGAAGAATGAGGACTCACCACTGATGTTGCTGAACTGAAGATCGAGAACCGATCTAAGCGTGATCTGGATACTGAGAACCTGAACTTACATCACGAGAAGATGTAGCGCACGTATGCGTCAATACTTGAAAGGTACTGAGCATGCAGGATAGAGTAAAGCTGAAATAACATATAGCTGAACAAAGCAATAAAGCAATGAAATAATCTGAACATGATATAGATACTGAATATTGAGCTAACTGAATGCAATGACCAAATTTATAACATGCTGAGACTGAATACTGACTGTACTGAAATATGGTCAATGCAATAGAGTCTGACTGAACTGTGGGAGCTACTAATAACCGATATAAAACCACATGAGCTAAATGTGGAGTCCGATGTATACGCCCCATCGAGAGGACCCAATATACCCGGCCAAAGGTATAGAAGCATGACTGGCGTGATCACTAAACTGATGTTGCCCACAGAGGGGACTTACACCTACGTGGCTCGTAGTTCTGGGACTATATGGGTACGCTGAAACCCTAGTCCAACTCGGTATTATGCTACTCCCAATAGATTAAGTGGTTAACACGTTATGACTGAGTTTCTGTAAATACTGGATAGCTCGAAACTGAACATGCAAACTGAGAATGCAACAATTAATCTGATAATGATGCATTCATAAACTGAGGAATGTAAAACTGAATACTGAAATATCTTACCTAGCATGTGTAATTCAAGAACTAAAGAAATACATAGCTAGGGTTCTGAAATTCATGCGATAAACTGAGCAATAACATGATAATCTGATTTGGAACATTTAAATAACTAATTCATGATGATCTGCTATAATTCTAGAAACCCTAGGTCTGTTCATAATCATGGAATCAAGAATCTGACTGAATTCTAGGGACCTAATGGGCGAAAGGAACCCACTAGTGAAATCCCACATACCTGGTGACGAATTCCACGGAGAAATCTTTCGATTTCGGGGCTGGAACTGAAGGAAACTTGTTGCGTTCTTGAACTAGGGTTCTTGACCTTTTTCTCCTCTCTTGCTTCTAATTTTCTAAGTTTTGATTAATGAATTTGACTTAGGTAGGTTCTAGTTATGTTTCTAGGCTTAAACTAATTAAAACCTCATGATTTAGGGTCTAAACGACGTATCTTAGGGGTTAAACGAAATAGGAAAAGACCAAAAGACCCCTGAATTAACTGCTGTCGGAGTGACTGACGGTCCGTCAATCAATCGACGGTCCGTCGATTGGGTCCGTAGGTCGAGTCTGCCCGATAGGGCTTCACTAAAACGGGCATAAATTTTTACTCGGAGGTCGGAATTTAGCAAACTCGGTGGCATTGGAAAGATAATTCAATTATATATCTAACCATAGGTCATGGGCCACATAATTAGTTTTGTACTAAAAGTTATGACCATATGAAGTTTACACATCAACAAATTTCAGCTAACTGGTTGCTGACCCTCATCTACGGTCAGACCTACGGACCGTGGATCGAATGACGGTCTGTGCTGGTCGACCGTAGTTTGTGTCAGAGGCTGGGTGAGGAAAGTCTCGATCCACGGACACGGACCATGGTCTGATCTACG